AGGCAGGAAAGGACTAATTGGACAGCCTAGGCGACGATTTTTCTGGCTCCGCTCGAGGCATGGGTGGTGGGTCCGGATCGCCCGCCCCCTGAGTCCTGGCAATGGAAGACCTCTTCAGCAGGAGCCGAACTCCGGTATGTGGGCAAGAAGCCCCTACCGCCTCAGGTGTATTGGGATGACCACTTCCTGCCCTTGCTGAACCCCCAGATGGTTTTGCAGCATGAGGGCAAGGGAGCTATGCGCGCCTTTACTTGTGAGTTTTATCACCCCGAGGACCGGGTTCCCGCTTAGGTGAGGCAGACGTGCAGCGGTTGATCCGTAGCCGGCCCCCTTTTCGCGCCCCGGAAATCCTCGCCGTTACCAATGAAGAGATCCAAAAAGGTTTTTGCAGTCCCTTGCAGACTATGCAGGCTATGAATGATAGGTTTGGAGTTGGGGGCTGGCAAGCTGTGGAACGCTTCTTGATCATCCAGCCAGATGGCAAGCGTGTTATTGATAATGCTCGTAAGAGTGGCCGCAATACCCATACAGCCATGCAGGAGACTATATCTACGGTGAATGTGGATTTGTCGCTTCCGTCGCCCGTGTGGTCAACACCTCCCTGGAGACCCACGGGTGATTCCCGGAACGGCTGGATTGGGTAGTGACGACCTGCCCGATGCATATCGAGGCCTTCCAGCCCAAGGCTTCCCTCAGTTGGGCATTGCGATTGCGCGACGCTGTACCTTGTTTTGTTGCGCCGCCAACTTTGATGATGAACTCGCTGTTGACTTTGTCCACAATTCGGATGTCTCGCAGCGCGGACTCCAATTGGTCTTCCAACTCATGGGGGCCCCGCCCCAGGCGGCCAAATCTTTTGCGCCGGGCCACAACCGTCATTACCTTGATACTTCTGTACATGTTGGAGACTTTGTCGACTCCGGATCCATTCGATTTCAACCAAAGTTTACCACGCAACAAAAAGTATTGGCAAACTGCGACTTGTAGTTGAGACGAAGCAGCTTCCCCCGGATGATGCCGGGAAGCTACGGGGTGACTTAAACTGGATGTTTAGCATGTGCGCAGGCCAGGCAGGTAGGGTTGCAGGACGCACTCTGACCGCGTTGCAGCGTGCTGCGTCACCGGTTCTTCCCCCCGAGGACACTGTCACTCTTAAGCTCTTAGCGGCCATTGTGGCATGCCCTGGTCCTCGTGATATAGCAGTACGTTCATTGCCTTCGCAACCTACCCTTATCTACTCTGATGCTTCTTTTGAACATGGCGTGTTGCGTGTTGGCTGGGTCATTTTCGGGCAGTCGGATTCTCCCCAGGGTCTAGCCTGTGTTCCAGACTTGGGAAGACCGTTCGCAACAAATTTATTGTGGGGAAACCCTCTGTGGTCTCTTGGTGCCATGGTTTCACGGTGAAGCCTTGCGCCGTCAGGATGTTTTGTGGTTCATCGACAATGAGGCAGCTGTGGCCTCGCTCATCCGCGGGTCCAGCTCCCAAATTGATGTCCATACTCTTGTTGAGGTAGCGCATTTCCTTTTTCAAAGATTCAAGATTCGCGTTTGGATCGAATGGGTAGACTCTGAGAGTAACCCATCTGACGGCCTTTCTAGAGATGGGGTGTGTGACACTTGGACTAGGTTACAACCCTGGGATGTGTCAGAGGTTTGCTACCCGGAACCACTCCGGTCCGTGTGTCACCCTGCACACCTTTCCCGCTTTTAGATTACATGGACAGTGGGTGATTTCAGATACAGTGGGTGGTATGTTAAGTTCATCAAAAGATGACTTTCCAAGCTGGTCCGTGTGTTTTCTACCACGACTAATACCCAGTGTTATTTCATAACA